AGAGGCTAATCAGAGGCTATCAGTGCATGTGACTGTCTTTACATGTGACAGCTTTACTGGCACCAAATCAAGACCAAAAATACATGGATAGAAATAAGGGAGGAGGTTATTCTGCCACATGTAGAGCCGGTTTGGTGAAATATTTTGTTACAGGATGTATTAATCACTAGAGGATGTGCGTTCTATAAATGTCACAGCCAACTAGATTCTTTTGTAATTAGCTTTTACTGTCAACATGATCAACCAACTGAATAGCCTGTTGGCAAATTCATATTCACATTGGATACTCCTATAGGAACGAATGGACTTCCGGTGGACTCGTATGCCGCCACAGAGCTATGTGAAAATGAGACGTCAGTGTTTCATGGCACATGTCATGTAGTGCCGAGCTGCTGCATGTCAGCTCATCAGGATATGCCTCTCTCATGTTTCCCAGCATTTAATCTACTGTATCCTGACTGCTTCCGACATGAAATGACAAGGCGCTACAAGTGTGTGTTACACCCAAAACATCATTTGCTGGCTGACAGAAAGGCCACCATCTTTCCATGATGACATTTGACCCGCTGAAAATTAATGGAAGGAAGTGAAAACAACTGGAGATCATTCACCTTGAGAAAAGAAAGATCCAAGCCAGGAAAAGAAATGAAGCCCTCAAGAGATTTTTAGCAGCTATATTTCCAACTTGTATTCATGTACAGATTGCATAACAGAACAAATGACATTGCTTAAGATACAATCACCTTCTCTGTACACATAAAAACAAGTCTTGCTCTTCAGTGTCTCATTCTGCAGGCACCAATAACCAACCTGACCCAATTTCATTAAAAAAAGGCATCTCCTCCTGAATATCTCTCTGAAGCAGGCAATTAAATAAATATTTAAATAAAGTGTCGCCTTGGTCCCCGGGGTAATTTGGTTGATTTAAAACTTCATGTGTGTATCGGAGGAGAGGCCTGAGTGTAATTAGATCTGATGTATGACTGCGAGATAAGACGGTGAGGCCCCCACTGACTTCTGAAGATGTTTACTTTCTTTAAGTTTGGACGCAGTCTTTTAGACGCCACCCTTGATCTTGACGGGAATGCTGCTGTCGCTGAGTTCTCACTGGCTGGATAAATAATCGGCGTATAAATAACTATATGAACAGCTTCAGGAAGATCTATGCGTCCATTTTGGGTAAAACTATGCAGTGGTTCCATAGCATGGATCATTCAGGTTTTGGACGTGTCATCTGCTGTGACTTACTAGTTAACAGCTTGTATATTCAATTCACTTTAATTCAGTTTTACTTATCTAGCATCAATTTAACAACATAATATATAATCATGTCACGGTACTTAACATAGTAAGATGAAGACCTTCACACATTACTGAGAGAAACCTTCCAAATCCAAGACATGTTCTTTGAGTAGCTCTTTGGCAGCAGTGGGAAGTCCTTCCAGCAGGCTGGGCCGACAGCAGCAGGGTCACCGGAGCAGCCCTAACTATAAATTCTATCAAAAAGTAATGTTTTAAGCCTAATCTTGAAAGTAAAGAGGGTGTCTGCATCCTGAACCCAAACAGGAAGCTGATTGTGCAACAGAAGAGTGTGATTGCTGGAGAATCACAAATAAACCTGCAGTCTGAGAGCAAAGTGCTTCGTTGGGATAGTTTGGTACAGTAAGGTCTTAAAATATATAAAAAGCTTGGTCATTGAGGGATTTGTTTGTGAGGAGAATAATTTGACTTTGCATTTTGCAGGGACCCTAAGAAGTCAAGGTTAATACGGGAGACATGTATTCTCTCTTGCTGGTTCCTTTCAGAACTCTGGTCGCCGCGCTTTGGATCAGTTCTTCAGGAAGTTACTGAGAAATCCTAATAATAAAGATTTCTAGTTGTCTAGGATGGAAGTACCAAAAGCATGTTCAGGTTTTTCAGCATTACTCTTGAGACAAACTGTTTCTAATTTGGTCCTTGACTTTTGTGTGAGCTAAACATCCAAGTCATAAATGACGGCAAGGTGACTCTGGTGGCCGGAGCGATGCTGTCCTGTGTAGCTACCTGGTTAGAAAATGTGTTTCTGAAGTGTTAAAGCCAAATATTATGACTTTAGTTTTGTCTGACATCAGGCTACAAGTCAGCCAGGCCTTCATGCCCACCCAACACTAACATTTATTTATTTATTTTTAGCTGGAAGATAGCAAACCACAAAGAAATTAGCTTCCCTTTGGCATCAGCAGTTTGTTCAATGTGTACATTAACTTTTGCGTGACTCATCATGGAGTGGAAGTCTTTAACTTTCTGGCCATCACCAGGGGAAATTTGAATTCCTGCTCATGTGTGTCTCATTTTACAGCTCCTGGTCAATGATGGATGGACGATTCCTCTCTCTTGCTTCCTTCCTTCAGCAGGTTGGATTCCTCAGCAGTTGTCCGGCATGTCTCCATAAAGACAGACTACTAATTAGCCCGAGGTGGCCCCTGAGGCTTAAAGCAGTCACCCTTAACACACAACACAACACACAGCCTGACGGTGTCCCTCTGTTGACAGAGTGTGTATTGTATTGGCTCACCTTCCTTCCGCTCATTAACCAGAGCAAACACTGACATAAATCCCTCCCATCCAATCAGTCTGTGGCGGGGCAGGACCGTGACAGCCAGGTCTGCCTTAAAACCAAACCCACAAACTTCAGGCCAACAGATAAGAGCTAAGACGTGTAAAATACAACATTAGCTCATACCTGCATTTAGTTACACAAGTGTTTGTTGAAGGAAGAGTTTATCCCGCTGGTTTATTTTAATGTATGATTTTTTTTTTTTAATTTGCAGAAAAAAGTATGTTTTATTGGCCGGAGATAAGAGGATTACAGTATTGTGAAGTCTGCCACTAAAAGCACTGTATTCTATTCTAAATCATGCCTCTTCATGCCGATTCATTGGAAGACAACTCCACTTGCACTGCATATAATATTTCTTTTTTCCTCCTGACTTTTCTGAATTCTGCAGATAAAAGCATCCAATCAATGTGATGGCCATCCGCTGAGGTTGCTTTCTGCCTCCAGCTCTTCTTCACGGATGAGGGCGCACCACGTAAAGTTTGTGTTGCCTCTGTGGGTCCGAGAGAATTCAGCCTTGTTCTCTGTCTTGGCAGCTCACTTAACTTTATTCTTTCTTTCATCATTTTTGAATCAAACACAACAACAAACCTACAGGCAGGAAGATGGAACAATTAATATATCATGAAGATGTTTCTGGAAATTGAAGTTGCTGATCCAAATTAGTTTCTTTTGTGAATGCTCTGAGTGATTCCTCTCATATTCTGTGTGTAGAGGATCTCACAGCAGTATGGATTTTCCAAACAAAACTCTCTGCCTGGCTACATATCGCTGGTGCTTCAGATGAAATTAATGAATGAATTCTGAGGGATGAGGAGCAAATGTTGCATTCAGGCAGGTCTCCATACAACAAAGATGGAGTTACAGAA